CCCCCCCCCCCGCTGCTGTGGAGACAATACGCTTGAGCTGCCCCGCATGCAGGGGCGGGGGTGAGGGGCACAGCTGGGATCTGCAACCCCCCCACCCCCCGAGGGAGGGAGTGGGGTGCCGGGCATCGGGGTGAGTTACCTTCAGTCGCCGCCTGCTCCCCAGCTGCGGGTCCCCCCATCAGTTCCTCAACAACCTGCAGCGGGCAGCTGCCACAATCCAGCCATGGAAACCAGGCGGCAGGACCGCTGGAGCAAAGCCCCCACTCCAAAAAAAAAAAAAAAAAAAAAAAAAAAAAAAAAAAAAAAAAAAAAGCAAAAAGGAGGGCGGGGGGGGGGGGGGGAAGAATTAAAAAAAAATACGGGGGGGACAAAAAAGTGGGGGAGTGTCTCCTTTTCTTTCCTGCCGGCTTCCCGAGGGGGGAGGAAATGGAGGGGTGAAAAAAAAGAGAGGAAGAAAAAAAAACAGAAAGAGCCGGTGGCTTCTTCCTCCTTCCCCTTCCCAGCACGGAGCCCGCTCGGATGTATCTCCCCAGTTGCCCAACTTCAGAGCAAGGTGATGCCTCGGCGGGTGCTGGTCGGATGCGGCACGGGCACGCACAGCCCGAGCTGCTGCTGCTGCTGCTGCTGCTGCTCCAGGAGAAAAGCCGCCGCTTGAAGAGACCGCAAAAAAAGGGAGCGAGAGAGAGAGATCTCCCCCCTCCACCACCTCCTCCTCCTCCTCCGCCTTCCTCCTCCTCTCTCGCTTCTCTTCCTCCTCCAGCAGCACCAGCTGATGCTCAGATCCACGCTGCCCCCTGCTCTGCCTCCTCGCCCGGGCAGCGCTGCCCCCCTGCCACCTTCCTTCTTCTGGGGCTGGGGGGTTGAGGATGATGATTTTTTTTTTTGTCCTCCTCCTCCTGCTCCCCCCCAGCTCCAGCCAACTCCGTCCTCGGCAGCAGCAAGTTGGAAGGGGAGGGCGTGGGGCAGGCGAGGCGAGGCGGCCGAAGGAGCGGGTGGCTGCGCCTAGCAGGAGGCTGGTGGCGGCAGCTTCATCGCTGCTGCTTGCGGGGCTCCGAGCTCCAGCGAGGCAGGAGAGGCGGCCGCTGCCGAGCGCAGGCAGGGAGAGCGATGGTGGTGGCTGGAGGGGGCTGCACAGGCGGCTGCTGCTGCTGGTCCAGGGCGGTCCGCAGAGCCCCGGCCGCCAGCGGCATGCCCCGG